CCCACGTGAAGGGAGACGAAGGCACCATTAGAGCCTGATCTGTTAGAAGAAATGGAGTAAAAATGCGCGCCTATTGCGTTCTTAGCTTCTCTAGAAGGTTCATTCTAGACTGGCGAGGACTAGGGCAAACTCTTTTTTCGGCACTACGTAGCACAAATGCTAGCCCACCTGCAGCGACTGAATTTTGACATTGGACTACTTCCATATCCTCAGACATTCGACTAGCGTTAGCCCAAGGGAATAACGCCCCCGTCCTCTTAATATTATGGAACCCGTTACTCCTCAAATGCATGTCTATTGCCACTTGTAAATTTCACTTACTGAACCTGGCTCCTAACTGCACTTACTGCATGTTGTACTTTATTGCTAACCATTCAGTCTAGAATGATCGTGAGATAATAAGCAGAAAGCACAGCGGGACGTCTGCGTAACCCATGAGCGCCCCAGTACCATGGTGAGATCAAAATCACATTTCATGGATTTGATTTATAACGGGGTTTTATTTCTTCATAATCTATGGGAGTTTTCCATTCCACATTACGGTCGTGGAAATTTTCTTCTCCATTTTCTCAATTAAATGGCCGTTAGTCAGCCTCAAGGTTATTTACTTAAAAGTTTAAAAAAGTGTATTTTTAACCACAAATTAAAGGTTACATTCGACGCAAATTGATTTACATCTTCAAGTAACTTATTCTCCATCTCCTTTTCCATATAAATCCTCATAACATGACTAGTATTTGATCTTCTTAGTGGAAAGTAAACACTTAACAGACACCCACTTACGAGCACTCAAGATAAGAATGAAGTATGCACATGCTATTATCTTAGTGGGTTGTTTTTGAATGCTTAACACAGGAAGTCTGGACGCGTCGATAATTTAGGTTTTCCTAATGCTTGATTAGATTGCAGAACACAATTAGAACGCTTGAGAAGAAACTGCGTTCAGTCAATTCCTCCCCTAAGGATTTTTTCTCTCGTGTTTTTTTATAAACACAGAATTGGCTAAAAAGTCTGTATACAACCACTGAATATGAGAATTAACAGACTTCCTGCCGTATTCACCTAATGGCAATAAAATAAAGGTGAGGAATGAATGTTCCTCCGCAACGCGGTTGATGATACTGTTAATATACCCGATCACAATGGACAGGGCAACGAACTCATGCCTCAGCTGTTAGGACGCAGGGCTTCTAACTAACAACTTACAAGTTCGAGCCTCCGGAATTGAATTCCTTGAGTTGTATATGGTTGGCTGATGATGTCTACTAAACCAGAAACGGTCATTCGCGTCTCTCCTGTCTTTTTCTGTCTACAAAGCTGCCCCCCATATGCTTCACATTTTGCCCTTCCTCCCTCCCCCTATTCCAGCTTCAACTCATCTATGATTACCTCAATGAACTGCGAGGAGCAATGCAGTGGACCCAAACTGTCAGTAGGCTTTGCGATGACCAGCTGATATTTGAACGACAGACCCTCCGAGGCAGGCGTCTGAAGAAACTCTCCGACACCATTGCTCCCGGCGCCCACGCTGATGCCGAAACAGAGCTGCGGGACCTACGCGTTGAGTTGGCATGCTTTGAAAGCAAAACAGCCGCATTCTTGCAACAAAAGGTGAGTTTGATTTGGTTGTGCGTCTGAGTTCCGCTAGCTATCGGTGAGCGTGCGCCAACGAAGGTCAGCAGTTTCGAGCTAAACTGGCAAGCAAACGACAACGTGGCTCAGTGTTGGCCTTCTGATCACAAAATCACGGGTTCGAGCCTCGGGTGGTGTACCAGCATGGTGTAGCATTGGGCGAAGACAGATAATGACCTAGAAACGACCCTTCTAGCCTCCCATGCTGGCAAAGTTCATCTGCGCACAATACTAGTCGCTGTACGGCTACTGGTGCGGCTCAAGAGTGAGCCCCAAAGCAGAACGAGACGAGGGAGTTCTGGTAGTGATCGTGAACGTTAATCAACCAGTTTCTTTTGCCATCATTTATAGCCCGAGGTCCTATTAAAAGATAGAGGTCTTCGACTCCGTTGGCGTTCGGAGCATGCTGAATGGGAAACTCATATTTCGGACAGCTCATTGCCGCGCAACTCACCTACGTAGCTTGAAACTAATTGGCTACTTTTTACCCAAACATCCAGTCAAAAGTTCATAAGGGCTAATTCATAAAAATCTTTTTCCGATTTCGGTTTTACTGGCCCTACTGCTTTCATAGAGTTGATTGGCTTGCAAACTGGGATAAAGGTTTCCAATTTGGTGTTAATTAAGTGTGATCTAAGCTATTCAGGAGACTATAACATGATCAAAGAGGTATTACGCAAAAGTCTACTTGAATGTCTTTTTCCTTTTACTTCTTTTTCAGAAAAAGGAAAGTCGTGCCTCTGCAGCGATACTCGTAGCAAACACCGGACGTCTGTCATCGTAAGAAATCTTTTAATAATCTTTTCACTTACTATTGGCATTTCTGTCATGTAATTTTTATTGTGTTAGGATATAATAATAATTTTGTACTCATTTTATTAGCGTCATGATCATGTTTATTCTCCGCGACTAATCAGATATCTGGATCTGGATTTTCCGAGGCAACAGGAAAGCTTGTAAATAAAACGGCATGGGACGCCTTGGCCCTTGGGTACATCACAGTGCCTCCACGTGAAATACGGGGTAACACTTCAAATATCTAGGCAGATATCATTACCGGCAAAGACAAGGGAGACTTGAATGCCAATTCCCGACTCATTAGCCGTCGTCAGTCGGTAATACATAGCATCAAGTGGTGTACCAATCGAAGGACAACGAGTGTCAATATCTCCCTATCTAAAAGAGCAAGGCAACGACCTAGTGGTCTACTGGTTAGAGCGTTAAACTTCTGATTAAAATGTCACGGGTTCGAGTCTCTGATAGGGCACCACTGGAGGTTGGGTATGACTGGCGTATAACGGCTAATAAG